TCAAAGAAGCACTTGTGGACAGCAACACATACACATATATTTCTCCCACATGCCCACATCAACTTTGATAAATATCTAAATCTGTCACACACAGTAAGTTGTACTCCTTATCTGCCAGTGCTTGTGGTCAGCAAATTATGGATGGTCTTTACCAACCCTAAAGGTAGAGGCTAGGTTTTTTAGCTGGTGTAATGCTCTTCTAAGAAAATATGCAAAGAGACAAAAATATTCATTAAAACATCTGAATTAATCACGGTTACTAGTTCAGAAGAGAGCAGAGACTAAATGACGTTAAAACTTCTCATAAGAAACATTTTATAAGTAAAAATAAGCAGAGAAAATATTAAGAAGACACTTCTTATAAGTTGCTGTTTTGAGAAGACAAATCCTGGGAATTTTCAATGAGACTTCAGTTGGTTGACAATTATTTTGGGAATATTTAAATTCTCCCTACTCCTACTTCATTCAATATTTTTTTTTCTTTTAGCAACTTAAGCAGCAAAGTGACTATATTTTGCACTCATTTTTATAATTGTGAAATAATAATAATATCTTCCTACATGACTCTATCTTGTTACTCACCACCAAGAATTTCAAAGCATTTTACAAACCATATTACACTTATAACAGTTATTTTGCATCTTACAGACAGATATCGATTTCTGAGGAAAATACAGTAGCATACAGTGTTGAATTATAGGTATTTGTTCTGAGGTCCAAGGAGAGTTTCTCATTAACTTGAGGAGTCAGATCTTTTGTTAGAGAACTTCTTACGCAACTGAATTGAGCATGAAGTCAAGCATAAAGATAAAACAGGATTTCATATCCAGCCTCTTTCTGTCACATGCAATATAGAACCTCATCTGCACTGTGTCTTTTGAACTGTAGATGAAGTTAACTATACTAGTAATACAGAAGCTGCAAGGCATCAGGTGTTGTGCCTTTATTCATGTAACCTCTGTTAAATAGTCAAGCTCCTTCTATATTTTGGCTAAAGGTTTAGGGTTTAAAATGTGAATGAGTTGTTATGCATGTAAAGCACATCAAAGTGACAAGGAGTTAGGGTGATTTTTAGCATTCAGGTATGACATCATATGTCAAGACAGCACTGTACTAGGCTCATGAGTCCACCTGAAAGGTTTGGATCTTATATCAGCTGATATGTGTATAACCTTTGCACAGTAGTTCAAGTGTGGATAGGATACCCTGATATTTTACCCTGAGTAAGTTTGCAGATGACACCAAGTTGGGAGGTTGTGTCGATCTGCCTGAGGGCAGGGAGGCCCTGCAGAGGGATCTAGGTAAGCTGGATCGCTGGGCTGAGATGAATGGGATGAGGTTTAACAAGGCCAAGTGTCGGGTTCTGCACTTTGGCCACAACAACCCCAGGCAGCGTTACAGGCTTGGGGATGAGTGGTTGGATGATTGTGAAGAGGAAAGGGACCTGGGGGTGTTGGTTGATGCTCGGCTGAACATGAGCCGACAGTGTGCCCAGGTGGCCAAGAGGGCCAACGGCATCCTGGCCTGCATTAGAAATAGTGTGGCCAGCAGGAGCAGGGAGGTGATCATCCCCCTGTACTCAGCACTGGTGAGGCCGCACCTCGAGTATTGTGTTCAGTTTTGGGCCCCTCACTACAAGAAAGACATTGAGGCCCTGGAGCGTGTCCAGAGAAGGGCAATGAAACTGGTGAGGGGTCTGGAGCACAAGTCTTATGAAGAGAGGCTGAAGGAGCTGGGATTGTTCAGTCTGGAGAAGAGGAGGCTCAGGGGAGACCTCATTGCACTCCACAATTTCCTGAAGGGAGGTTGTGGTGCAAAAGGGTCTGGCCTCTTCTCCCAGGCAAATAGTAGGACCCGAGGAAATGGCAAGAAGTTATACCAGAGGAGGTTTCGGTTGGATATTAGGAGAAACTTTTTCTCTCAGAGGGTGGTCAGGCACTGGAATGGCCTGACCAGGGAGGTGGTGGAGTCGCCATCCCTGGCAGTGTTCAAGAGGCGCCTGGATGAGGAGCTACGAGAGATGGTTTAGTAGCTTGTGGCACTAATAGGAATGGGAGGGTGGTTGGACTAGATGATCTTGCAGGTCGTTTCCAACCTTGTGATTCTGTGATATTATATGCTCACTTTCCACTATGGCAATGTGCACAAACAGTGGGGTTAACTGCTTCCTGCTGTTAGAACCTAGTTCTAGGAGGTTTTAACAACTGGAGGCAATTTTCATAGCAGATATTTAAGCAATGAGTAAAATCTTACCTTGCTATTCTATCCATCAGTCTCTACAAGAATTTTGTCATTAATGGACTGGCATTTCACACTGTTATTCATGTTGGTGTTTCAGTGTATATTCTGGTCTCAGAAATCTTGAAAGCATTGGACTCTGTGGCATAATAATTTACAGAAAACTTGTATTCCTCTGTGCGGTGGAAGGAAGACTATACTAGAATAGGCTCACTGTGGTAGAAAAGAAGGCTCTATCACTTCTTGCAAAGCGTTAGATTCTGTGAATGGGAGGGCTGTGAGTTCCCAGAAAGCAATTTGTTTGTATTCAGAAAGAGTACACATACTAAGCATAGCGTCTGGTTCAATTTGTATTGATTATGTAATAGCAGGTTGTACCATCTGTTCAGCAGTGGTATATCATCCTGCTTTCTTCTATCACATCTTTCTCTTGCTGATCTTATGCTTGAGCTTCAGTTTAGATTTTCAGTGCTGGGTGTTGCAAAAGAAAAATGTGCCACAATCTTCTCTTGATCTTGCTTATACTTTCCTTAAGTGACTTCTTTCAATGTGATGGGTGGACAGCAGCCTTTTTAACAGATGTTTCTCACAGGGTATTGCATAATTATTTTTCAAGAGGCTTCTAAAAGCAGATGTTTCCACATCTTTGTTCTTTCCCCTCTTGACACTTCAACACAAACAGCAGATTCCACTGCTGCTGTCCTTCAGATCTAGTGAAAAAAATACCATAGCAATGATGTTGGATTTTTTCAGCTCATTTGGCAATAGTAAATATGTACTGGCACGATTCTTCTCCCTTTCCCCCTTGTCATTGGCCATGTTTGCACACAGTATCTCATGCTTTCTCTTTTGGAAACACTGTCTTTTTCTACAACCTTTGTATAGTTGATCTTTACTTTCTTCCAAAAAATTTTCACATTGAGAGCAAGAGTAAATCTTTGACTTCCTGCCATTTCAGTATATAGTTTTTGTTCTTATTCCAACGTAGATGACAACTGTGCCCTGTGACACCTCCACCACTGTGAAGAAAGACTCTTTGGTATTACTTTGGATATTTTTGGGTGAAATAGCTCCATTTTCTCTTTCTCACAAATAGAGATACAACAACTGGACTTTCCTATTGTTTACAGAAATAGCTCCGCTTTCTTGCAAACCATTTTGTAAGGGGACTTCCTAATTTGAGTATTTTTTCCTCAAAGACCAAGGGAATGCAACTAAGAATGAAGAAGAGGGCAGGCCCGGACAAGTTTCATCCAGCTATAATTTATCATTACAAAAGATGAATTTCAGCTGTTAGTCTAAAATGATGATAAATGCCTGGATGAAGAAAACAAAAACTTTCTAGTAAATCTACTCCGTATCTTACTTTAAACATCATGTTACTTCCTGTAGTAAAACATCATCTGATGCTATAGCACTTCCTGTAGTAAAACATCATCTGATGCTATAGCACTTCGGACACATGACAAGTTTCATCCTTTCTGATTTATTCTGGGTAATTTACTAATTTGTTTTGGGTCTAGTGACAAGGGTCTTGCTTTTCTGGATCCTGAGGGAAAGCACAGCATTTTTGAAATACATAGAATATTTTAAATTTCACAAGCTTTACCTGAAACACAGAATCACAGAATGGTTAAAGTTAAAAAGGGCCAGTGGAGATCATGTACATCACAGTACAGATTCCTGCTCAAAGCAAACAATTAGAGTTGTGTCCAGTAGGGTTTTGAGTATCTCCGAAGTAGAGACTGGTAAGCTTCTCTAAACAACCTCTTCCAGTGTTTAGACACCATCACCTTAAAAAGATTTGTTCTTATATTTATTTTTTATTTATTTGTTTGGGTGTTTACGAGAACATTATGGAAGACAGTTTTGAAAGCTTTTCTAAAATCAAGACGAATTACATCCAATCACAGTGTTACAGTGTGGTTAAGGTTGAAAAAGGGGTCTTTAGAGTTCATTTGGCCCAATAGAGTTCATTTGGTCAAGCAGGGCCACCTAGCTCAGGTTTCTATTGAATATTTCACAGGAGACCCCACAACATCTCTGGACAACTTCTTATGTTGCTTAGTCACCTGCACAGCAAAGAAGTGTTTTCTCATGCTCAGGAGTTTCTTGTGTTTCAGACTGTGTTCATTGCTTCTTGTCTTGTCCCTGAGTCATTGAAAAGAGCCTGGAAGATGCTATTTGTCCAAATCCTTTCTTCTGCCCTTCTTGAAGATGTTACATTTGCTTTCTCCTTCTTAGGGAACTTCTCTGACTGCTCGATCATTCACCTCGATCCATTCAGAACTCCTGCCATCTTTCCTCAAATTCCTGCACATAAGCATGGACTGTACTGAGACACAGAGGAGGTGATATTTCAAAATATCTTCTTTTTGGAGGGCTATATCCCTTGGGATTCTTCCAAGAAGGTTCCTGAATAGGCCAAAGTTTTCTCAAAATATAGTGTTATGATCCTTTTTACCTTGTTTTCTCCCCTCAAAATCCTGAACTCCACCATCTCATACTTAGTACATCAAGGCTTTCCCCATTTTTTCATGTCTCTGTCCAGTTCTTCCTTGTTTGCAAATGTGAGGTCTAGCCAAATACCTACCCCTTCTTGGCTCCTTGATCACTTCTCATTTCTATCCACAGATATTATGTTCCCAATGATGACTAAGGCCAAATTGTTTTAGGAAGACCTCATCTACTTCTTTCAGGTGATCAGTAGCAGTTACTGACATTGCCATGGTGATTGGTCCTTCTGTGTTATCTGTTCACAGGTAGCTAAATCATTTCCACATAGGAAATGATTTCCATAAGTCACAGAAGCATCTTTGAAGGGAGACAGTGGAAAATTGATCCTTTGAGAAAATTAAAAATATACTAAAAAAACTATAAGAAGATGTTCCACAAGAAAGAAGCATATTTTGGAAAGGTAAGGAACTGGGTGATACTCTTTTTTTTTTTTCCCATCCACTTTCTTTTTTTCTGTTACAGCAGCAATGTTCATAATCATTACTGCTCCTGTTTGTTGCTCTAGATACCAGTATGACAACTTGAGTGAATGAGAGGACTTTGCTAATACAAATAATCTCTAAAACTTCTTTTTTTCTTCTTCTTCTTCTTTCCTGTGCTCTGGCTTGGTGATTATCTTGGTGTTCTAATTTTCTGACAAGTTAAGCATTTATTTTTCCTCCAGTGAAAAATGAATTTCCATTTGACTTTTCATGTTGTTTTCCTTTTCCCTGAACACTCTCTCCTATATCAGATTCTTTTTCCTTCAACAATGATCACAAAAAGGTTGGACATGACAGAAATGTGTAACAGATGAAGATAATGTTCGTTTCAATTTTTTTTTTGTTCTCCAGGTATCTGTTGAATTATCTAGTCATCTGTATACTTTTAGATATCTTATTTTAGATATCTTATTTTATCTCATCTTCCACATCTGTTTTTTGAGGCTTGAATTTTTTTTTAAAGTGCTGCTTGGCATAATTGTGCCAAAAGAAAGAAAGAAACAAACAAACAAAGAGTGAAAATATAAATGCAATCTTGCAAAGAAAGCCCAATGGTCAGTCTCACATAAGCATGGGAAACCTTCTTGCAGATCGTAACAAATGAAAGTAGAAAGATTGCTAATTTTAGTATATTTGTTAGTTATATGTAATAGTCTTACAATAATCTCAACCTCCAAAAAATACAGAAAAAGAGTAGAGAAAAAGTAGAAAAAAAACATGTCAATGGCTGCTGTACTGTAGTATTTCTTTCTTTTCCAAAGTGTAATCCAACTTTTTTTTGAATTAATGTACACAAGTCACTTTAACTGCTGGCTGCAAAACTTTTGGCAGTTTGTTTGATATTCCAACCAATCTCTGTGTAAAGAACTGTCTGAATTGTTTATAGGCTTGTAATTCTGCCCAGAGTTTAGTCCACAATCTCCTATTTTGAACACAATTGTACTTAGGAAGATGTTTGGGCCTTGCACTGAAAGGCTGTGGTTAGTGGGCTGAAGACTCATAGAATTTAGAATCATTAGACATGTTTTTATCAACAGTTAAAAAAGAATAAAGCAAAGAAGTAATTCCACATAAATATTTCCATTCAGTATTCTTATTGTGCAGTATGACTGTAATTTATATTTTCACAACAAAGTCTATTTTTGTTTCTTAAAATTCCTGGAAATGTAAAGCCACTAAGAAATAAAAAGTGACCTGGCAAATTATTGTCTTCACATTGAATATAGGATAAAAAAGGAACAACAGTACAAGATGAAGATCAGGAAGGCCACGACTATTTCTTCTGTTCTTTTTTCAAATTTAGATGTATGTGTTGTGTTAACAAGGTAGGTATTTTTTGTCACAGTTGCACAGTTATGGAATTTAGTATTGATCTGGTGCCAAGATTCTGTAAAAGTAAACAACATTCTCATGTCTTCAAGAATGTACATAGGTGAAGGTGGTGAAGGGCAGTAGATGGAAGTTGCTATTTTTGAATCTGATCTAACTTTAGCTGAAATGAACAATGTAACACTTCATATTAAAAAACCCTGAGCTATCTCTGAAGAACCTTATTCCCCATTTGAAAGCAATGATGTGTATAACATTGCTTTGTGCCTCGGAAAACTAGCTCTGCAAAACAATAGGTTTGATTAGTTTAGGTGCAATATTTTACTGATGCTACTAAAACTGCTACCAGAATTCTTCAGTTATGTCTTCACAGTTCTGTTTGGAAAGGGATGATGTGAACTCATCCTTTTTGAGTCATCAGAGAATTGAAACAGGGCATTTATTTCCTTCAGACCTATGACCAACTCCTGTGTGAAGAGATTAAGGATCCTGACCTGTTTCTAGGTAAGACCTTTCAGCCTGGAGGAGGCTCAGGGGAGACCTCATTGCTCTCTATAACTTCCTGAAGGGAGGTTGTAGTGAGCTGGGGGTCGGCCTCTTCTCTCGTGTCATTAGTGATAGGACCAGGGGGAATGGTTTCAAGCTACGGCAGGGGAGATTCAGGCTGGACATGAGGAAGTATTACTTTTCAGAAAGGGTGGTCAGGCACTGGAATGGACTGCCCAGGGAGGTGGTGGAGTCACCGAGCCTGGGGGTGTTCAAGGAAAGGCTGGATGTTTGTGTTGAGGGACATGGTTTAGTGGGAGCTATTGGGAATAGGTGAACGGTTGGACTGGATGATCTTTTAGGTCTTTTCCAACCTTGGTGATTCTATGATTCTAAGATTCTATGATTCTAAGACACATTATCATCAAAACCAAACGAACAGTACCTGCAATAATGTAAAAGACAGGAAGTTTTATTGAAGTTGTAATTAACACTGCAAAGTAAAACACTGTAAGAACATTTATTAAGCTACAGGTTTTGTCTGCTTGGTATTTCTTTCAGACTGCCTAGCATATTTAGATATATTTAAAAGACAAACAGTCTCAGAATGATCAGTAATTGAGAACACACTGAAGATAGATAGGGAAAGGGGAAAAGGTAGTGCTTACCATTAGAGATGAGGAAAAAGAGCAGATAGAAGAGACTGATTAATTTAAATACAACCACATACACCCCACAATCTCGTTTTGAACGCATAGAAGATGAAGAATTGGATAACACTCAACATATAAATGTCAGGAATAAATTGTGTCAATTGTCAGGTTTTGTCAAGCCAAACTACAGCAGAGCAACAGACCCTGCTTAGAAAAGAGTAAGGGAGTCTATCTCAATTTTATTAAAACTTCATATATTAAAACTATAATATATCTATAATTATTCCACATTCCAACAGGAAATTGAGGAATATAATATTCTCAATGAATCTACCACAGAGTGGATGCGAAAGGAGTTCACTAAGTATATCTAAAGAACTACTTTTTACTAGTTGTTTGATCTATTGAATAAGCATCTATTGTGCCTTTGGTGTTCAAGGGTTTTAGTAGTGTCCTTGATAGTGATATAGAAAAGCCTTATGAAATTTTAGTTGATGCTAACTCCATATACACTGAAAGAAATTGATAGATTCAGAAATTATATTTACATAAAATAACATAAAATATATTTACATAAAATTCAAGGCTTTTTGACAAACAAATGTAAGCTGTTGCATTCACACAGAATAATCAACAGTGTAAATTCAGGATGGAAAACCCAACACTGCAAAAAAAGTACTAGGGTTCATGAATCTCAAGATTAATGTTAGTCAACAAGGTGATTTAAAAGGAGAGTTTTGGATATATTGGAGCTGGTTAGTCTAAAGACAGGAGGACAACTTGGGGGAATAAACAATAGTACAAGCTATTGCAAGAAAGGTTCTGATTAGAAGTACAGAAAACAGTTCTAATAGCAAGGGGGATGAAGTGCTGGAAGAGATTGCCTAACAATAGCTTGGAGCATCCATCAACAGATTAGACAAACATCTGTTAGGAATGACATGGTTATAACCAAGCTTGCCATGGTGTGGGAGGAGTGGAAATGGGTAACCTCTGGAATGATTCTGTGTTTCCGTTTATGATATTTTTCCTGCAGAACTCTTATTAAAAACAAGAATTGCAAGAAAAGCACTAGTGATTCCTGCCTTCTGCACACAGTTTTACTGCAGTGCATGTCTTCCTCCACATGAGGTAGGACCAGCTTGGCAGTTATTGATTTTATTTAGCAGGAAGGTTTTTTACTTCATTTGCTCTATTACTATTCACATAGTGCAGAGCAGCTTTGGCCCAAGTTCATTGTCAGATAGCATGGTTTAATAGGTAGGTCACTGTGTACATTCAGACAACTGAAGTGTTTCTTGCTTTACCACACTGATTATTTTTGTAACCCATCCTAAATCCCTTTGGCTCTGTTTGGATTCTTTCCTGCATTTTGTTCATGATATCTATTTGCACTGCATGATTCAAGGTCCTGCTTCATGTGAGCTCTGGGAATTACTATACTCTGGGTGTTACGGCACCTGGGGTTATGGAGCTTGAATTTAAATGAGTCTTCAGTGTGTTACTGTAACACGTGTAGCAAGCCACAATAACAGACACTGAAGACAGGAGTCTTTCTGTTGCCTGGAGTGGAAGTTGTTGTATAAGGATCTGAATGAAAAAAAAGATCTTAAAGGGATATTCATGGTTACTATTCTCTTCAGTTATCATTGTATCCTTGTACCACTGTATTCTGCCATTCTTATTTGCATGTTCAAACTGTCATCTTACTCTGATTTGATGTGTCCCTGCTGTAGCATTCTGATACGTGGAATGCATGAAATACACCTTTCATATGAGCAAGAATTCTAATCTTGCTCAGACATCTCTGTGGCCAAAATCTGATATTTTCTGTCTAGTCATAGAGTTCAGAGGTCATGCTTGTAACTTATCTGGTAAAGTATAGTAGAGAATTGGCTGGTACAGGAAGTATATAGAGAATGGAACATTTTTAAAATTATATGTAATTCATATACAAGTATTGAGCTTGGAACAAAAATCATAGCATGTGACGTGAGAAACATTTATTTAGTTTTACTGTCATTTTATAGCAGTATTTCTTTAAGTTTTACATAATATATCTTTTTTTCATTGGGGAAAAAATCAGACTCTAGCAAATGGTGAGACAGCTTAAAAATAATTGTAACTAGGAACTGGGCCATGATTAAAATTGTTCAGCTGTTTGTTTTATTGTTTGTTCCCAAAACCTTAAATGCACTCTATGAGAACAATAACAACAGTTAGCATGTAACTCCATATGGGCCAATTCTTGCAGTCCTCACTCAGTCCTTTCTTACTCAGAAAAACTTTTTAGAGTGCTTTGCAAAGAGTCAGGGTTGGAACTGTGTGTTCTAATTGTTTTGTAATATTAACATGGTAGCTACCATGGAATAAGAAAAAAAAAACAACAAAAAAACAGAAAGAGAAATAGATTGAGGACTGTCTGTCTACTAGCACATTTGGATTCAGGAAGAGTTTAGAAGAATGTAGACAGTGATGTCTCCTCTGACAATGTCCGTATCTCAACTTCATGATGAGGATGATAATGATAGAAACTAGAAAGAAAAACAAAATGTAAAGAAAAAAATGATGGCTATTTGCTACATAAGCTATAAACATAAGCAAGTTTGTAAGTAAGAAATCACGTTTACTCTGGATGACCTTAGCTGGCACACGGAATCACAGAATTGCTCAGGTTGGAAAAGACCTACAGGATCATGAAGTCCAACCTCAAACTAACTATTCTACCCTAACAACCCACCACTAAATCGTGTCTCGGAGCACTGCATCCAGATGATCTTTAAACACATTCAGGGATGGCGACTCAACCACCTGCCTGGGGAGCTCATTCCAGTGCTTAACAACCCTTTCTTGATATCCAACCTAAACCTCCTCTGGTGCAACTTGAGGCCATGTCACCTGTCACCTGTGTGAAGAGACCAAACATGGAAAATGTTAATTTTTTGAGGCATTTGCTGGCTTTCTTGGTTGTATTGACCTCCAGATTGGTTTGATCTCCTTGGAAATTCAAGTGCTTGCACTTCTATAATTAAGAATGAACTTTCTTTGTATACATTTTCCTAAATGTTCATCTGTGTTTCCACTTTCAGGACAATCTTCTAAGAATGGTGGTGAAACATAAAGAATTGTAACCTGTTTTGGAGGTAAGGAGCTGCATTTGGTGTGGGATTTTCAAAACTCTGTAACATATATACAGCTGCTAGAAGATGAAGTATTACATAAACGTGTGAAATTTGCCCCCAGAGAGTTTATTTATAGTTAACTACAGTGCATACTGACAGTAGACTACATAATTTTCACAATACCTTTTAAATATAAAACGTCTTAATATTTTGATTTCACTGAGCTTTAGTTGGGTTACCAAGTGTGCATGGAAGACTTAATTTAGGAAAGGCTACTGTAAGCATAGTTTGAACCTTTTCTCTTGGGAGAGGTATTGAAACCTCATACATATTTTAGGATGGTAAGGATCTGGTGATACTGTAGGAGCCTCATTTAAAGCCCTTTAAATGTCAATATTAAAAATTCCTTTGCCTCAGTGGATTCTGGACCAAGCAGCATGCAAGAGTAACTGAACTAAGGATTTTGCTGACTGTAACATATAGTATATGCAGTACAGTTTTATAAAAAAAAACAAACACATTTGCTAAGAATTATTTTTGCTTTACTGATGTTTTAAGAAGTAATTTGATGTAGTATAGTGAAAAGGACATAAAATATTCTAGGTTTGAGTCATTAGAACCAGATGGGCTTTAAAGGCTTTTGTCTAAACTAGAATTGGGAAAGTTTGTAAACTCTGGATAGTCTGAAAATATGCTCAAACTTGATATATCAGATATGCCCAGTTTTATAATGTGAAATTCTTTGGCTGTTTTCCTGACACCCTAGTAAGGTGTTATACAATTTAGGCAATTACAATAAAATTTTGGATGCTACTGTTATTATTGTTCTGCTTTGGAACTGGAAAAACAACAAAATTGCCCTATTGCAGTGTAGTGGAGAATATCACAGGGAAGAATTAATAGGGAAAATAATTTTTATTACTTAATATTAATTTGTTGTGTTTACATCATGGGTCATATTTGTCTGTGTGGAAAAGGTCAGAAAACAGCAACAAGAAAACCCAAATCTCTCATTCTGGAAGGATGACAAATGTTTTCTCTTCAAAATAAGAGCAGTGTTGTTAGTGGAACAACACTATTTGACAGTGACCAGTCAGAACTGCAGAATGCAATACTGAAATAATATTGATCATCACAGAGTAATAAGACAGCTGTTGAAATTAAATATGTCACTACAGTCGTGTGGCAATCCTTCTGCATCCTGGACAATATATGATATATATTAGGCAGCTATTAATCCTACTTACTTGAGTAGTCTGAAAGGTGGAGGGAGGAGGCAGTATCTATGATGGTAGGAATTCACACAAATTGTTGAGGGGATATAGAGGCAACCTGAAGTTTATTTCACATTGCTAATATAGATTGTATGAAGGATGACTGTCTACACAGAAGTTACCTATATTTAAGATCAGAGATAACTTTTATTTTCTTCTTTTCTGACTTGTAAAAATGACAACAAAATCTGGTAATCTGAAATTGAATTAGAATGTGTCAGGAGTCTTTGGATGCTAATCTAAAAGGTCTTGATGACATTTTCATACAATATCTTGGGCATTAGGAGTGGATTTTGTAAACTTTTTTTTCTCTGTGATTCCTACTAATCCCTCATACGTGAGAACTTTTTCTAATGTATTAGTGGTTTCACTGTCCCCAAGTGAGAAGGAAATGTGTCTGCATACAGCAAGCAGTCAAGCAAGATCAGATTTTCTCTGCAGGAACTTGTTGATTTCAATACAGAAAGATGAACTTGCAAGTATACATCAAGCAGATTTCAGTGTGGCTTCTCTCTGAATATGGGCTGGAATGAAGTCCTTTCAGAATGTTAAACTACCTTTCAGAGAAACCAACATTTAAAAACATAGTAATAAGTGAGCTACAGAAGGCAGCACAAGTGCTCAATTCAGCAGCATTGTGCCTTTGAAGATGCCAAGGTTCAGTTATAAATTGTATATGTCACTTTTTTTTTTTCTTTTTTTCTGTCAAGATGCATAAGCAAACACCTGGTAGATATACTAGACTGATTTTCTTTGTGTAGGTGTGTATATAGGTACACATGCAAACACTTCTTATCATGCAGTTGTCTGCTAATGGTTGTGAATTTGTATCTTTGATTTGCACAACTAAGTCAGGTGGGCACACATGTGGCCCTGCAAATATTGACAAGATAATACGTCCTTTTGTCCCCTGCAGTTTCACAGGATGATGGATTAGGATTTTTTTAATGTTTCTTGGTTCAGAACCTTTCCTTTGAATATTAAAGTCAAGTGAAACATGCTCCAAAGACTTTGTCCATAACAATTGGCAATTTTCCTATGTTAAGGAGTTGAAGTGAAAGCTTTTATTATGTCTACCTGCTCAACTAGGTTCTTCCAAGTTTAAATATAAAATAAAAAATGAAATGATTGGTGTAAAGTCATGACATACACAGTTTTCTGTGCAAAATCATGTATTTCTTTTGTTTGCTTTACTATTTATTAATTTGTTTTGGAGATGCTTACATCTTAATGAGGCTTTTGAAAAACTTACTCTGTGTTTAAAGTTTCTAAGAGAATTTGAAGCAAGACAAACAATGTGGTTTTGGGTTTTGTTGTTAACATTTCTCAACTCTGTCCATGTCATAAAAAACAACATATTCATTTGTATGATTTGGCCTTAGGGCACAGGAAGAGGTGTGGAATGAACAGTGGAGAATGCACTGGATGTGTAGTAGAGCTTTGGATCAGAGAGACTGTCTCAGAAGCTTGTGAATTTGGAGAAAGCCATGTGTCCATTAAAAAAAATATGTATATATCTTGACTTGGATGGTTATAAACCATTTTCCTAAACTGTGAGCTACAACTCCCTGAGGAGGGGAAGCCTAAAGGGAGGTGCTGGGTCTTCTCCCTGGTAGCCAGTGATAGGATATGTGAGAACAGCACAAGGTTGCACAGTGGAGGTTTGGACTGGATAATATGAACAATTTCTTTAATAAGATAGTGGTCATAAGCTATCACAGGCTTCGTAGGGAGGCTGATGATGCCCTGTGCCTGTCAGTGTCCAAGAGACATTTGATCTCTTTTCTCCTGTCCTCTCCTCTCTGAAAAACCCCAACTCTTTGGGTCTCAAATTGTAAAATTACTCTAAAAAACAGATCTCAGAAAAAATAGTTAAATTTGTAACTGGCAATCAGTATTAATTTATATTAAAACATACTTCAGTTTTGGCCCACCAAATTAATGAAGTGTACAGAGAAATCTTTGCAGAAAAACAATTGAAATTTTTTTCTTTAGAGCTAATTTGTTGCTTTGCCTTTTGTTCCAAGTACTCACTGCCATTGATGCCAGAAGTAGGGATTTAGTTGTGGTCCCAAGACAACTTCAGAACCAAAAGATGAGTGCATTTTATTTGAAAATTAAAATCCAGCTTGTCCACACTTGCCAGGAATTGGTTGGATAATTTGGAGCAGAAATTCATTCTCTACTTTGCATTGGGTGACAAGGTGGAAGCGTACTGTCGTTCTCGGTAAGAGAACACTCTGAGTGCTAACTCAGGCATTGACTCTCCGCCTTGGAAGAAAAGCACAACAGGAGTCTTCACGGTAGGGCATTGAGAGGCTCAGTTCACATATTCAAGCTTCTAACGGCAGAAGGGACCACAGTGAGTGCTGACTGTCTCTGGCATAGCACAGAATTTTGAAGAGTCATTACTGCTCCCCACATCTGTTATATGATTCTATAATAGCTCCTATTCCAATGCATATCCACAAACAGGATGGTTTTAACATGCATCAAGTCAGCCAGCCAGACAGATGTTTTGAGGCACATAATATAATTATTGATATGAAAATCAAAACAAGGTATCTTATAAAAGCAGCCACTGTCGGATAGTTATGGATTAGATCATCAGTCTTGTTGCTTTAACAAACCCCGTATTCATTATCGTAGCTAAGGGCACTTTTTTCTTTGCCAGAATTGGCTGTCCTCTTAATGAATATTGCAAATCGTAACCCAAATTATATGCCTTAAACTGTCTTCATTTTTTATTTGCAATGCTGTTCAGGAGCTTGATTTGTGTTATTGCAAAGCATTTCACTGATGGAAAAAAGGGAGACTGACATGCAATGAATGGGCTGCAGAATTCTGTGTGGACAAGCAGTAACTCAACCTTCTGGTACAGAGTCATCTCCATCTTGTGTTTGGACTTCACTGTGAACTCTGTCTCCTCTGAGCTCCCTCACAGGAATTATAGTGCTGACTTTGACTCTGTTTTGATAAAGACTCAAAGTTTTACACCAAACAGATTTAAGACTGACTGCTAGTGCTGTATCTCAGCTCTACTAATGTCAAAAATAGAAAGCTTGGGGAAAGAAATGAAAACATACTGAATTTTTGCTCCTGAGTGGATTAGAAATTTGAACTTTTTTTTCCTTTTATTTCCCATTCCACCTCTAGATAATCGTAGAATCACAGAATGCTTTAGGTTGGAGGAGACCTTTAAGATCATTTGGTTCCAAACCTTCTGTTATAGGCAGGGATACCTTTCTCTAGACTAGGTTACACAAAGTCCTATCCAGCCTGGCTTTGAATGTTTCTAAGGAGGGGGCATTTACAAAGATGCTGGGCAACCTGTTCCAGTGTCTTACCAACCTCACAGCAAAAAGTTTCTTCCTAATATCTAGTCTAAATCTACCCTCTTTCAGTATAAAGCCATTTCTCCTCATCCTATCTGCCCTTCTCCTCTACTACCTGCCCTTATAAACAGTCCCTCCCCAGCTTTCCTGTTGGCCCTCTTCAGGTACTGGTAGGCCACTATTAGGTCTCACTTCTTCTCCAGGCTGAAGAGCCCCAGCTCTCTCAGCTTCTCCACATCGTAATAGACATAAAAGACATAATAATGTATTTTCTCTTTTGAAAGACTGTGGACTAACTTTGGGTTAAAAACATTAGAAGAAAAAGAAAAATCATAATAAAACCATAAAAAGAAATCTGTTAAAAGATACCGAGAAAGAATGTTTTACTTTATTCAATTGAAGAAGTTTTTAT